TGTAGAAACCACACGTTGCTGTATAATCTCCCCTTTTAAAGCGAGCAGTAATTGTCAGTCAAGCTGTTTTATGTCACGCTTGCAACCATATAACTACATATGTGTCGAAGTGAGCAGCTCTGCAGGTATGAGTGGATCACGTTTCATCTCAAATCTTCTAGCAGATGTTACCTCCACAAGAAAATATATCATGATTGCAGTATGGACTGTGATTGGCACACTATTTGGAGCACACACAAAATAACTTGCATGTTTTCAGGCATGCAAATATGAATGCATGTTCAAGCCACAGTGGTTTGGCATGGATCTAAGGATAGCAATTCCTATCACTTTGGTTATTGGCCATTCAAATATTCGCAAAACATAAGTAAAACATTTTCTTGTGCAGGAAAGATAATTCACAGAGACAGTTTACCGTAACTTGCAACAAAGCGACATATTTTGACATCAATGTACATGTAGAAAAGATTTCACCATCTGATTGTATTGATTATTTTAAGTACTCCAACTTTGAATGACTGTCCATTGTCCTTTACTTAGATTTTAAATAAAGTGCACTTAGTAGGGTCTGATTTTAGACTGACGGTTGCACATTTTCCAATTAAATCCTTAAAAACAGACGTCTGAATGGACATGCTTGCCGCATTGTGCTTGAGTCTGAATAGGACGACATATCGGAGTTCCAGAAGGACACACACACAGTCACTCCACACATTTAAACCACATGAAGAGAGATGAGTCGACGCACTGACACTTATAGACCAGACCACCCTGCAACTGCTCTAACAAAGAATCCCAATATTAGTGTGTGTGTGTCTGTGTGTCTGTGTGTCCAGGCCCCAGACAGATTCCTCTCCACGCTCAACGCAGACAGAAATAGTCAGACGATGTAAGGTGAGATAAGAACATGTAAAGAAATGAGGGGTATGACCCTTTAAAAGGTATTTTTGAGCTGAGTAAGCAAGAAACAGAGAGACGGATATCAACCCATGTCATCAGATGCCATGACTAATGGTGGTGTAATAGTGGTGTGGATATACTTGGACACAAAGAGCAGACCACATGCAGACAGGCCTGACTGATGCACCCTCTGGCCTGGAAATCTATGTGTGTGGCCTTAGCTCCCACCGCCCCTACCAACACACATCCAATTTCCTTTTCTTTTTTTAAACCCTTTTGTCTGAGCCCTCTCACTCAGTTTTCTTTTTAAAAATATATAAATTAAGGCTTAAAGGACTAGAGACAGAGAAAACTGACAACCCAACAATGGTTTGGCTCTCCTCAAACTACTTTACAAGTCCAGCTCCCTTCCTCTGCTCTCCCTCCCTCCACTTACTCCTCCCTCTCTGCTAGCTTCTGGCCTGTGTCCACAGTTTTAAAGCTTTACTGTAACATGGCGTAGCAGCACGGAAATGGAAATCCTGCACTTCTAAAAAAATGCTTTCCTCTCCGTTTTCCTCTGCACCACTTCTTTGCCGTGAAATTCACCTCTCCTGCCGTGCTCCTCTCCCACCCGCCTTCTCCTGCCTTGCTGTTCTGTTCTCCATATGCTTTGATGGCTCCTCATCTGAAAGGGGGAAATGATTCAGTCCGCTGGCATGCATGGCAGAGCTGCAGCTGGACACTGCACCTGCAGCTCCGAAAAACAAGCTGACGAGTGCATGTTCCTTTCAATGCATGTGTGTGTGTGTGCATTCATTTTAGCGTGTGCACAGGCAAGGATTTTTCTCAAACTCTTTTTGGCACCCTTCCTCTCTGTTTCCCGCCTTTTTTACTCCTACATTTTTCTCCTTTGTTATTCCCACACTTCTGCTCCACGCACTGTCAGGCAAATTTAATTTACAACTACCAAAAATGTTGGTACCTTTGTGTTGTGATGTCAAAAATGCCAGAGGCCCACTAGCACAATTTGTACAAGACTGCACCCTGGGAGTTAGTGACACGACCTCAAGCTATTTAGATAATTCACCCTGCCAAAACAGCCTATTTGATTGAGGGTTGTGTGAGAGAAGGTATATAAAAAAATGAAATAAATTACGGAAAATGACATTTCACTTCTCATTTAGATTTATGGCAAGTGATGCTTAGTTGCCGCACCTCCATAAATTACGCCATAAATCATGTAATTAGCAGAGGCATCCTCCAGAGAGCTACTAAATGCTAATTTGTAAGCCTTGAAATTAGGTAAATAAATCATATCATAATTGAATTGGTGGTTGGATTTAAAGGACCATGATGATTGTATGATTTATTTTCTGCTGGGAATAAAGGGCATGTGTATTTTTGGACTGCTGAGTCTTGCAGCAGGTTCTCTCTTGCAGGTAGATGCTTTTAATAACCAGCATAATGTGGTATCACAGTGTAGCAGCTCTATCCCACTATTGTTGTTTCTAAGTGGCAGATAAGGGGGCTCTCTCTGTCTCAAAATGCATGACATTTGGGTTTGCAGTGTTGAGAGATATTCCACTGGGAGGTTTGCTGTGGAAATACCCCAGCGCAGGATGTAACGCTTTGGGGGTCAACCCTTGCTGGCTGGAATTAATGGAAACTATAATTACCTCCGCACTAACGAGCCAGTTGTCGTGAGCCGCGGCCAGGTGTTTAACAGGAAACAGTATGTGACAATTTGGATTTGGTGTTCACCAATCTGCACACATACACAAACACACAGCAAGAACCTGAGTGAGGGAGCAAACATTTGGGCAGCCATCGGTGCTCCTCTCTCACCACATCCATCCATCTTCCTGAGACGCCTCCTGTCCCAACGCACCGCAGCTTTCCCACCTTAGGAGCCAGATAGGAAGCTGCGGTAGGATCCTTTTACATTTGTTGCTCTGTGACAGCTTTACTGAATGTGTGTTTTAGAAACAATAGTTCCCCAACATTTTTTTTGACTGATGTATCCCTACAGCCATGTCAGATGAACTCAACTCGACCGATTGATTGACGCCAAACACAATGTTCCAAATTTGATCAAATCAATCATTTTGAGCTTGATGTTATTTAACTGTATTTATTTAACTGTTGGGTGTTTAACACTGGATAGTGTCCCAACACAATTAACCTGTTAATGTTTGGATGTCTCAATATATTACCTTTAGCTAATTCAACTGTCAATTACATTTATTATCTACTACTTTAATAATTTATTAGTTTTTAGCTAACTATCGTTATTAATTTATATAATTATCCAATACTTTTAGACAACCACTTTTTTATTTTTGCATTACCTTTTGCTATCTATTTCAAACATTACTTACAACACAACAATCTATTTAACAATATTCCAACTATTTAGCCATTTGTATCTATCCATTACGTTTAACTAATGTTTATTTTAGTCAGAACCGCTTTACAAACTCTTACCATTTGTCCATTAGTAAGACCTATTTATTTGAATCAAATATCTATTACTACTACCACTACTTTTAGCTAACCACTTCATCCATTTAGCCACTACTTTAGCTCACTATTTCATCCATTTAGCCACTACTTTTAGCTAACCACTTCATCCATTTAGCCACTACTTTAGCTCACTATTTCATCCATTTAGCCACTACTTTTAGCTAACATATTTCAACCATTTAGCCCGTACTTTTAGCTAACCACTTCATCCATTTAGCCACTACTTTAGCTCACTATTTCAACCATTTAGCCCGTACTTTTAGCTGACCACTTCATCCATTTAGCCACTACTTTAGCTCACTATTTCAACCATTTAGCCACTACTTTTAGCAAACTATTTCCACCATTTAGCCACTACTTTTAGCTAACATATTTCAACCATTTAGCCCGTACTTTTAGCTAACCACTTCATCCATTTAGCCACTACTTTAGCTCACTATTTCATCCATTTAGCCACTACTTTTAGCTAACCACTTCATCCATTTAGCCACTACTTTAGCTCACTATTTCATCCATTTAGCCACTACTTTTAGCTAACCACTTCATCCATTTAGCCACTACTTTTAGCTAACCACTTCATCCATTTAGCCACTACTTTAGCTCACTATTTCATCCATTTAGCCACTACTTTTAGCTAACCACTTCATCCATTTAGCCACTACTTTTAGCTAACCACCTCATCCATTTAGCCACTACTTTAGCTCACTATTTCAACCATTTAGCCACTACTTTTAGCAAACTATTTCCACCATTTAGCCAATACTTTGAGCTAACTATTTCAACCATTCAGCTGACAGCTACTACTTTTAGCTAACTATTTTATCCAAATCTATTTATCCATTACTGTTACTGCTAACTATGAATAACTGAAAACAGTATTGGAAATGATTGATTACTTGTACCTAAGTGTTTAAAAGTTTTATATATGTTTTGTAGGCTACTTTCTGTGCATCCGTGCATGCATCAACATCCGTGTCAGCATGTGTGTGTTTGTGAACTTGCCAACAAGGTGATAGATTCGGAGCTGTGAGCTGCCCTGGGGCTTATGGGATTGCTCACCAGGCACAAACTGAGCCCACTAGTCCTCAGACTATACACTCCTATGCTCTGCTCTGCACCTGTGTTATGTTTTCATGCTGACAAAGATGTGCTGTCCTCTGCGTGGGCTCAAGATCTGCTTTGTTTCCATGACTCAGAGACTAAAATAGTAAAGCTGCCACCAACTCTGAACCAAGGCTCTTTGTAGTAAAAAGGCCAAATAGTTTTCGAACACACAAACACAGCAGTGAATTGTTTGCAAATGGGTGAGTTACTCACTGTGCTAGACCAACACACAAATGCTGAGTGAACACAATTCACTTGTCTTGGATTTTCCAGTGTGTGTAAATGTGCACAGTGTTATTGGATCGGGTAAATGAATCTCATCATTCATATTCCACAAACTGGAGGACGGTGGGGGAAGAGATTCACAAAGCTTACAAATACGACATCCAATATCTAAATATGCAAAGCTATGATTATAGGAGACGTGGGTATTTGTTTGGATGGGAAAAAGATAACAACATCAAGAAAATAACTCACCACTTTTTTTCATTATTATTTATTTACGTGTGATTTCGCCACTGATATGGCTGAAGTAAAACTGCAGCATTAAAGAGCGGGAAAGCAGGCCTGTGTCAAGACATATAACCACAGAGAATATACTACTGCCCCCCAGTGGATTTATAGAAATACTATGTCTGAAAGCTTTGAGGTAAAGTAGATACTACACACTTCATTTATGTACCTTTCAAGCCATTCATTGACCCCTTATGCCCTATAGAAGCATTCACATTCCATCATATTTCTTTCAGGGCCTATTTCTTTATACATTGTTTATCTTATTATCTGTGCTAATGGAAACCAGGAACCTTTGTTTTGGAGGTTTTATTTATGTGAAATACAGCAGGATTTCTCCCCTATGTGTATCAAAAGTCCTTGAGCAACACCCTCAAACATTGACTCAGATGAGAACGGTGTCAACAAGCATCTCTGAAAAAGAACTCAAATGATAATTTCCTTTATCGGATTTCTGCAGTCCGTGAAGTATCTCCGTGTTTCGGTGCATCTTCTTTTTTAGTTTGTGTAGCATTGTAGATGCATTATTTCTTGGAAAGAAATTTCATTTTATTCCCTGGAGTAAAGGAAAAGAAACAAGAGTGTTGTTAGGTGAGATTTAACCACCAATAGATATTCTGGAACAGACTTCTGGGAAATAACCTTACCCAAGCCTTTGAGAAACCTGTTGACCCTCCGATGTTCATTCTCGTGGATGGAGTCCAGATACTCCTGCACCCTCACTTCAAATAATCCTGACAAAAGAAAGACAATCATGAGTCACTGCATAACCTCCCAACACCCAAACCTCTTCTTTTCACTGCCCCTCTTCACCTCTCAGAGCCTGCCTGTGGAGCTCTCGTTCCTGGATGAACCAGCCAAACATCTGGGTCTCCATGAAGACCTCCAGGAACCGGCGCACTGTCTTAGACGGGATCGCTTTACGGAAACCCTCGCGTTGGAAGTAGCAGGGGACCGGGGAGGAGGAAGAGGAGGAGGAGTAGCCGTCCTCCCGTTCACCGGTGATGAAGAGTGGATAGTGGCCTACCAGCTCCACGAAGAAACGAACGAAGGCCTCGGACACGACGGTGCTAAGATGGCCCGAATCTGCACAGAAGAGGATAAACGAAGGTATTGAGGTTGCTTAATTGATAAATGACATAGCATTCATGGCTAGTTTTCACTTTCAGTCTGTACTAAATCTCACCACCAGGTGTGTCTCCTCCTCTCTCATTAGCAAGCTCTCGTCTCCTCTCCAGAACATTCTCCAGGGCTGATTGGAGCTTAGATGGCAGAATGGAGTCTTCATCGTCCAACTAAATGGGACAAATGGCGAATCGAAAATTCATTTTGAAGTACACTAAGGATTCAATAATTTGGTCCACATCCATAAGTGTCATGAAGTACCATAAAAACGTGCACAAATATAATTCAACCCTTGGCCTACCTGTCTGAGAAATCGACTGTTTTCAAGATCCACAACCAGAACCTGTACACATAAATGTTTTAATGGTTATTGTTTGACAATGAAAGGGTTAGGGTCATACAACAATTTGCCATAAAGTATTGATGTGATAAAACTCTACAGATGCAAATAAGTCAAAGGTTATTTTGATGACTCCAGTTGCCTTCATACAGTATCTGCTAATCATTATGTCTCTGACCTCCTCCAGGGGCAGCTCAGTGAGCTGGGGCAGGGAGCTGGACAGCAGGCCCACCAGGAACGGGGTGGGGGTGCACACGATGTCCAGCATGGCCGACGGCAGCACAGGGATGTAAGTGTGCTGCCACACAAAGGGGTAGAGCAGCGCCACGACAGCATGGCAGCACTGGGAGAGAGTACTGCAGGAGAAGATAGAGTGGAGGAAGATCAGATGATGCTGCGGCAGAGAAAGCTACAGAAAGTGAGTAACGTTCGTTTAACCACATTAATGCTATGGTCTAAAATAAAGTGTAATCTCTGAATATTCCCTGCTGGGGTTTTCAAAGGGAGAAGGTTTAAACATATGCGGGACACATTATAAGACACAGTATACATTTTGAGGTCAAATTCTTCATTTGCTGCATTCTGGTGGATTTTTATGCACCAATTTATGGCGGAAATTGCTTAATTTATGTAAAGGGAAACACAAAATTGAAGTGCAACGTGGCAAAATATGTAAATACAATAGGATATAATGCATTCTCAGTCCTGCTAATTCAGCACACACGTAGGAATGAGTAACTCTTTCGTCCTATTTGTGTTTTGTTTTGGTACGAAACCTCTGCGAATGTGCATGCAGCATTATTTTAAGCCCCTGGACGTATTTCAGCAAGATTTCTAATCTTGTTCAAAACATATCCCACATAACTGTGTTCTTTGAGAAGTTGTAATATTTTCTTAATGCGGAAAAGTCCTTATTTTTCAAGGAGCAAGTTGCAATATTACTATAATAATCTATAAAACATTTTATTTCTTTTATTTTATAATGATTTATGACTCATTTAGTCCATGCATGTGCATTTTCTATTCAAAAAATGTCACATGTATACATTTTTTATTCAAAAATACATGCCTTAGCTCAAGCAGTTTTTCTTCACATGAAAAAAAGTAATATCATTAATGATGATATTAGACAGAGTTGTAATTATAATGAGAATAACGTTCTAATGCTCAAAGATCAGTTCACCTTCTGTACCAAATGTATTAACACAAACAGTGGTTGTGTACATTTTTGTATCAAAACTATTGCTAGGGACAATAGTGTCGTCGCTGGAAAATGGTAGAGAAGTGTCCAAATTCTAGGCCCTTGAACATTTCCCAGAGAGGAAAGCACATACTTGTTTTATTTACGTCACTCATCTTCACATTCCACTACTGTGACCGCTCTCTCTGACTCCCACTGGCTTTCTCTTGCAGAACAAACAAACTGGTCCCAGCACAACAAAAACTCGACAGAGCTGGACTCAAAATATCTCTCTGGGATGTTCCCTGAATAAAAATGTTAAAAAAACGAGGGACTGGACCACCCGGGAGCTTCACAAAGAAAACATCCCTGACGCTCGCAGCTCATATCTGCCCGCTGCATAATCCCATGAACAGTGGAGGCAGGATGTTCAGTGCTACCTCCTATTGGGCTGTCTCAATAGAGAAGATTGTAGTGTGTGTTGTGTAAGGATAAATATCTCCAACCTGAGTTTGTCGGCGGTGAAGATGACCCTCCGCTCCAGCAGCAGGGAGCCCAGCACCCGGAGGAGCAGGCGCAGACTCAGACAGGAGAACAGACACTCAAAGTCCACATGCTCCAAGCGCGAGTCAGAGGGCCGGCACAGCTCCATCACCTGGGAACAAGATGGACACAGAAACTAAGTTATAGAGCATCATATATACCGTTTTTATTACATTTTACTCATTAGCCTTTAACTAGTTTTTGAGGTACTTATCTCTGGAAGTCGATTTGAAAAAAGACCTTTGTCACATTGAATTATCAGGACTTCTCTCTATTGAAAAGGTTATTCAATATCATTTGTTAAAGGGGCCTTATTATGCTTTTTGGGGGTTTCCTTTTGCAGTCGTGTGTTTGTATAGGTTTTTGTTCATGTCAGCGGTCTGCAAAGGCTAAAATCCCAATCCCACATTTTGAAAAAGACAAATAAATACAGAAAGCTAAGTGGTTTAAATCATTACTTTGTGCATATGTGGGTGAAATAATAACAAAAAAAAATTAGTAAAATATAGCAAAGAACTAGCTAAATTGCACAACTTCTTCCACTTTTTTTTTACGGACAATCCAACATATTTTAAAGGAAAAGGTTAACAGGATCTTCTTTTCAATATCTCTTTGTCACTCGCCTCAGTGCCGGAGCCGGGGAGGAAAGTCTTAATGGTGATGGTTCGGCCTGGAGCTGGAAACTGAGCCTCCATGATGGCTCTCATGAAAGGCTGCACAAGAGCGGGAGACAAAGCCCTACGCCTCTCCACCTCATCTAGCACCTACAGTACACACACACACACAGTAGACACACACACACACACACACACACACACACACACACACACACACACACACACACACACACACACACACACACACACACACACACACACACACACACACACACACACACACACACACACACACACACACACACACACACACACACACACACACACACACACACACACACACACACACACACACACACACACACACACACACACACACACACACACACACTTTGTAAGTACCTCATTACTCATAAGCCAATAATATTATCATTGGAGGCCAGCGGGTGTTGTTTACCTTTGAGAACAGGTTAAAACAGCCAAGATGGCTGACAATACAGTAGACTTCTGGTAGACGTTTACCTTTTCCACTGGGCTGAAAAAAAAAGGGTGGAAGTTTACTTAAGGAAATCAGTTTAACTGCCATGTGTTTGTGGATTAATAACTGCGTTTTTTCTAAAGTATTTTATAAGTCGAAAACTGTTGCAAAACTCAAGCAATGCAGTGTTTCCACATAACAGAGGCCATGTTAAAGTTGAAAAAGTTAAAACATATTTAGTTTGTAACATTAATAGCACTGAAACACACACACACACACACACACACACACACACACACACACACACACACACACACACACACACACACACACACACACACACACACACACACACACACACACACACACACACACACACACACACACACACACACACACACACACACACACACACACACACACACACACACACACACACACACACACACACACACACACACACACACACACACACACACACACACACACACACACACACACACACACACACACACACACACACACACACACACACACACACACACACACACACTTCCTCCCAGACTCTCAGATGGACTATTTTCCCACAGGCACGCAGACTATTTTGGCACGGTTATTTACTCAGCCGTCATCGTGGTATTTAGCCACTTCCTGTTCAGTAGCAGTGCACTTATTTATTCTACTCATTTGTATTTACCAGTAAACGGCGGCAGTATCCGAACCTCCTGCTCCCATCCTCTCCCGTCAAAACAAAGGAGAACATCTCACTATGAAGGTTGACCCAAAACAAATACACAAATAAAACTGTGATTACCATATTTTTGATTGCATATGAAAAATGTAATTATTTACAAACAAACTTTATTATTTTTTAGCAAAATGGGGTCAAACTTGAGACAGTCCATTCCAGCAGTCAAGTCATTTAGTGATGATAAAATGTGGTCTTATTTTAACCTTAATATAAACAGTAGCTTTAAGACAATTTTTACACTCTCACCTTGGAAAGTTCTCCACCGGCTCCCAGTCTTTTGCATCAGGGAAGCAGAACTGAGGGATGATCCTCAGCTGATCCTCCGTCTCCCTCATGAACTTGAAGCTCCGCTCCAGCTGAAACAAAACCAGAGCAGCGATGTCTTTAATGCTTTATATTTCCATAAACTAATCAACGCCTCATTTAGGGTTATACATTATTATAGGGTTAGATAAAAATGCTGCTGCATGAAAAAAAATCAATCTACATTTAAAGCTCAACCTTGCTATATCAGATTTTCTGATTTATCTTGGCTGGTGGGCCTTTCTGTCTGGGATCAAATATGTAAATAGATATTTCTTGGCATTCCCAAGAGATAAATGGGTACTTCAGGGATTTTAGTATTGCATTTGTTTAAAGTGTTGGGACTCGCTAAAGAAAAATAAAGAAAGAAATATGCAACAGAGGCGAAGATATCCTGAGTTTCAGTCCTTAGTGTAAGTCAAAAAACTAAAGACTGGGTCCTATATTTTCCTATAAACAGGCTAGCCTTTTTAAGTACACCTTTCCAGATCCCTCGTCCTATAGATATCTAAGATGTCATCGATCATCTAAGTTTACTTTGACAAATCTGTGGATTGCTCTTATACAAAGGTTTCAATTGCTCTTATACAAAGGTCCCACTTTGAACAGTTTTAAAGGTCAACTCAAAGAATGGTTGAGAAACAAACAAACGTGCAATCACCTCTAAATGCATTTTAATACAGGGGTATCTCCATTTGCACTTTATGTAGCTCTTTTATCTTCTCTTGCACTATATATGTCGTAGCTGCTACATTGAGCTTGTATATGCTGCTCATGCTCTTTCTGCATATCATGTATTTATTTTTGCTATGTATATAAATGTCATGTTCTTAAATGTTGTATGTCAGGGACTACGGATGGAAATGAGCTAAAAGCTAAAATCCGGCATATTTACATTTTGAAGCATTAATTGTTAAAAATTGTCATCAATGTGCATTGTCCCTCTTCAAATAAACGATTAAATGAAAATGAAATGAAAAAAGCAAGCTAGGCCTCATGCCCTCCTCTGCTCCTGACCTTTAGTGGGAACTGCTGTGTGACCTCTGGCAGATAGTGGGCACCAGCCTTCGATTTCTGCAGCGACACAACTAGAAAATATTCAAACAGCTGACGCTGGTGGAGCTCCTTTTCCCGAGAGCGCTTGCTGGTGTTGGAACCGTTGTAATGGACTTGAGCCTGGCTTGGCTGGCTCAGTATGGACTGGACTGACACGAGACGCTGACGATGAGCTGGAATAGAGGAATGTTTTTGTATAAATTGGAGATGTCAAAAACTACAAGACAGTGTACAGAAAGTGTTCTAGTGTCATCTACCTCTTGATCTTTCCTCAACTTCACTCTCAGAGTCACTGTTCTCATCTGTTACTGCAAACAGAGATGGGTCAATTAAGTCAAAACTCTACATTTTAAAACATTAGAAATTACAAAGACAAGATTCATTTGAACATCATCACCTCTCCCTGAGCTTGTCTCAGCGTAATGATAGATCCTTCGGAGATGTTTCTTCCCGATCTTCGCCTCAAAGATGCTGTTGATTCTAAGCACGACCTGTTGGGAAAGAGCTCTGAATCAGAGTGCAGCATGACATATTTTCTTAAGGATGAGAACAAAGCACCAATTGATATTCTGAACATAATCTTTAAATTATATGGTAAGCATTAGGGTTGGTGGATAACACATCTGCTCTAGTTCAGGGATCCTGCATAAGAAAATACATTAAGAGCCCTAAAGTATGCACTTTAACACACACCGTTGGTATCCTGCGGCAGGTGCGGCTGTAAGTATCCCCAGAGAGCCAGTAAGTGTGTTCAGGCCCAGGAGTGGAGGGAGGGCTGAGCTGGGGTGGAGATGAAACCCCCCGACTGCTGGTGCTGTGGGGCGACTGGTTGCTTCTCCGCAGGTCCAGCAGCTTAAAGCCCCTGCCTGAATTCTGCCTGAAGAAGCCTGGCCTCAAGGTCTGTGGACATAAAATAAGAATTAAATACATTCTCACAGTCATTGAAATAAGAAGTGGTGTCACTGTAAATCATTATGCTTGGCTTGTATTTCCAGGAACCTTGGTAGTTTCTGCACCAGGAGAGGAGGGCAAAGACTGCTGGGAGCATTGACTCTCCAACTCTATGTCCTCATATGGGTTCTCTTTGGATGAGTCTGCAAGGAGACCAAAGAGGGTTATATTCAACATGTTTAGAGGTATTCTTCTGAAAATGCAAGGTTTAAATAATAAGGGATTCCAAAACGGTATTCGGAAAATGTCAGAATTTACATATCTGTAAAATTGACCTTTTAACTTCTTTAAGAGAATATTTTGATAATTTGGGAAATACTCATACCATCTGAGTAAGATGAGAAGATCAATACCATTTTCAACAAATATGAGGCTACAGACAGGCAACAGTTAGCTTAGCTTAACACACATACTGGAAATAGCTAGCCTGGCTGTGTACAAAGGTAAAACACCCCAAAAAAACACTTCACCATGCCAATAAATAAGCAAATAACCCCCTTCAAAACAACAAAAGTGGCCTGTTTCAGGTCTTAATGCTAGGATAAGCTAATTAGCGTAGTTGTAGTCGTAGGATCATGTTCACTAAAAACAACCTATAAGTGGTATTGATGTACTTGTCTAACTCTTGGCAAGAGACATTTCAAAGATCACTGATGGATATTAGAGGTTTCTGACCTGGGATGTCTTCATAGTGATGTTCTGGTAGGCGAGAGAAAAGCGGGCTAGTTGACCTTTTGAGGTCGTCAAACTCAAAGGATTTCCTGTCATGGTGAACAAAAAAATGCAAAAGAGTGTACAGTATATGAGCTTTCTACGTTGTATTAATTTGTACAACATTGTCTACCCTTTGCTGTAATATGCTGTATTGTTTTGCGTACCAGGACTAACATTGTATTTGATGTTGGTTAAGCTGTGACCAACTATTGCTGTTTCATTTATACCTTTCGATGTTGTCTCTGACTCTCTCACCCCGGGGTCTCCCATAGACACCAGAGGGAGGTTTTGAGGACGTTTTTGTAGAGGTGGGTGGCAAGGTGGAGGGCAGTGGGGGGAGGTTCCTCTGCTCTCTGCCCTTACTCTGACTTTTCCCGATGGCGACGATAGTCGGATGCTCAAAGGTCCGTTGGGGTTTGGGCACTGGGTTGATAGGGGGCGACCCCGGCTCTGTGTACACATTCTCCTGGTGCTGCGTCCCTTTCACTGAACCAGTTTGACCCATAACTACCTGTTTGTCCTTGCAAGGTGGGCTGAAGTACTTCCCAAGCTCTGGAGGACTTTTCCCATGGTTCTCCCCCATTGCATCCAGGTTTTTAAAAAGGGTGAACACAGCTCTCTTCTCCTGGTTGGCCTGTTCTGCTGTTTTCCTTTCTTTGCTTTTCTTCAGCGTCCCCATCTGCTGCTGCTGCACTGCTATTGTAGGCGAACAAGGCCTTGAATCCCTAAGCTTTTCTACGTTCTCTTTCTCGTGATCTATTCCGCCGCAATCCTCCCCTTTTTTGCTCTCACTGTGCTTGCTGTTCTTGAGCGTCCCTCTTTGCTGTTTCCCAGTTTCAACAGGTGAACAAGGCCTTGAATCCCCAAGTTTGCCTACATTCTCTTTACCAAGAGTTTCCTTTTCCTTTTGGGCTACTCTCTTGCAACTCTCTTCACTCAGTCCATCAGAGTTCTTACCATTCTTTGTAAGGGATTCTGTCCTTGTTATGCTGTGGCATTGGCCCAAAGAAGCTGAGGTAATGGGTGAATGAGTGGGTTCCTTCCCCTCCCATAAAGAAATCTTGTCCTTGATTTTGCCTCCATTGGATCTGGGGAGCTTGTTGCCTACCAGGAGAGTGTTCTCATTGTTAGGGTCGAAGCTCGGCCTCCTGTGCGCCATCATGGGTGATTCTTCCCTCTGGTTTTCTAACGGGGTGAAGGGAAGTTTGTGTGCCCTCTCTCTTCTTTGTCCCACGTTGTTGTTGTCCCCTGAAGCAAAATGGAAATCACCTTTTTCACCAGCACGGCTCTTCTTTAACCTAAACACACACAACAATGTTTACTGGGAGCAGTTTGAACCACAGTTTTATAGCATTCTTCAGTAAAACACAGATTTCAAAATGATAATTGAATCACTGATTACCTAAATTCAATAAAAAAAATACAATACTATGCTACAAAAGACTAAATAACATGACTTTCATTGAGTTTCCTGAACTTCTGAGTACGGTCACTGCCAGTTAGGGGACACTAAGTCTTTTTCTGGCGACAGTGGGAAAATACAGCCTGAGAGTAAAATGCCAGAGGACAAGCCTATGACCGAGCATCTCCTTCTCATCGGCCTCGCTAAATATACACATACTTGGACCGGAGCCCATTTCATCAAACTGTAATGTTTAATTAAATAAACAAGAGGAAATGGGAAGCCCTAAGATGAATGACCTCTTTTTTTTAGGGGATGTGATGAGTAAAGGGCAACTTAAAGCATTTTTTTACTTATTTCAAATGAGGAATTTGTGAGGCCAAAATGTCCCTCTCTTATAGGAAATGCGTTACAAACCTGTTGACAGTGGCGTATATGTAGTCCGGAGTGATGGTCATTCTCTTAGAGGCCGCCATGATTGCTCAACACCTGAGACAGAAAAAAAAAAGAAATGTTTAGCCAATCAATTGAATTCATCCGGAGGCTTTTTTCATGAGTCTCTGTGCCCACTTGATCATTTTCTCTCCCACACTGTGTTTCAGCATGATCAGGGTGTCCGCGGGGTCTTAAAAAGTATTAAAAGTTGATCAATTAATTTAGCGAAAATTAAGGCTATTAAAAAGTATTAAAAAGTATTAAACGGCATTTTCCAAGGTATTACATGTTGTAGCTTGTTTTCAATAAGTATATAAATTGTCCAAAGAGGTTGTATTCTACAGTTTGCCTGAATGTAATCATTGCGTAGGTGTGTAGTGTGATTCGGTGTAGTTTATTTATGGCATCCCGTTGGATTTGACGTCATCTGAACAGGACATCGCACGCTCACTGCTTGATAGCGCGCGAAGGTCCGTTTACGCCGGTTGTTAAACAACATCGTTATGGGGAAATGCAAGTTTGTGTCCAAATGGTTGGAAGATAAGGAGGAAGGACAATCAATACTGTATATAGTCAATGTGAGGTAAAGTGTGTCGCCAATGTAACCGGTTAAAACTTGAAGTGGCGATGAGGTCTTAAAATGTATGGAAAGGGTCTTAAAAAAGGTCTTAAATTTGACTTCCTGCATATACCCTGATGATATAAAGGTCTTTTATAAGACATTTTAGGCCGTGCGACCATTCATCCACATCTGATATGTATGAAATTCTGGGGCCAGCTGGGCAGACTCAAGGAAAAACATGACAGCCAGTGCAACTCCCTTGAGAAGGTCATCACCAAAAACCAGCATCTCAATAGTCATTGGGGAGCTCTTGCGTGATTCAATCAATCTTCTCTAGCTTTTCTTTAAATGAAGCTCAGCGCAAGTTCGTTCAGGAAGACTGGGTATATATACATTCACTCCGCAGCTGCATATAATCAGCTCATCACGGGCGTTGTCTATAACCTATTACATTCACCTCAATCTCCAGCAGCCAATCACTGTGCTGCAGCCAAACTTTAAAATGGTTCTCCTCTCTCCTGCAGTCAGCTGTGATTTCAGGTGTTCATGCTTCGTCATATCCAGTGCCAAGAGAGCTAATCCAAAGACCTCATCCCATCTCCTCATCAAATCCAGATCTTCAGCATCATCACCAGTGTCTAGACCCCGGGGGGTTCCCTATATGCTCACGGCTGCATTTCCCCCTTTAGATATATACGATTTCAGGATCAGGGTCTAATCGCCAAAGACTTAATATTTATCATATGACATGTGTCAATAAATGTTCTTTAAACAAAATGAAGTCTCTCCTGATTGAATTACTGTATTGTTGCTTCTTCTGCTGCGTTCTACTCACAGGACACTAACCTTTGCTCTGCTTTTCCTCCTCTCATCTTGACTCTCATACTTTCACATCTCTAAAGGCCCATGTTTCAAAGTTCAGTGGCCTCTAAGATAGCGCTTTGTAATTTCCCAGCTCTGGGGCCGTTGTCATCATTTGTTTAGTTGATATGTAATCCAAATAACAGTGAGGGACAGCATGAAGCCCTTAAAGACGTAGCTGATAAGCTGGGAAATACATTCAAACGCACTGTTACTGTGTGATAAAGATAGCAAGCCATCCAGAGCTGCATAGTTAATCAAAATGACATACGTTCTTCTACAAAATACATATGGTAAGATCCCTTCCAAAACGAATTGCTTTCCCACCAATTTTGGTTTTACAGTTAATAAAGCGACAGAGCAGAACATAATATATGATTGAATTAAATTCAGAAGGAAGTCTCAAACAGCCTGTATTTTGTATATTTAACTCACTAAATGAAATCCGCTTCTTACCTCTTTCCATCGTATAGTTTCCATGTGTTTTCTTGTGAAATGGGAGCATAATGCTGGTGAATTCAAGGTATCCATTGGTATAATCTCCAAAGCACCAGTGTGTTGTATTTCCAGATGTAATCTTCCGCAATAAGTTTTCTAACTTGATTTAAGGCTTGAAGTGAGTCGTCACAAGCTTCTCTCCCTGTATCTTTCCCAATCTTCAACTTTCATTCACTCTTTCTCTCCACACACACTGGATATGACTTCCTCCCTAACTCTCCCTCCCTCTCGCTCCCTCTCTGCTGGTGGTCCCTCTCACAGCTGACATTATGAACAAGCTATGTAGAATGAATGAATGTCTCTTAATAGTCTTACTTTGAACTACTTTATAACTTTAATGTTGCCTATACTAACTGCAGAGGAATGACTTACACAAGTAACAAACGTCATTGTATCTGAAACACATCGAATGTAGTCCTTTGTTTACTTTCTTGACATCGTGACATCACTGCGAAACACTCGCGCTTCTATCGTCTAGCTCTCCATCACATTGTACGTGATAGGCTGAGGGGAGAGTCATCTCTAAGCAGTTGACCAATCCAAACAGAGCTAACCAATCAGAGCAGACTGGGCTCTGGTTTCAGACAGAGGGTGAAAAGAGGTGCTGCAGCACAGGCATTATGAGAAAAATAAAGACCGTTTTGAACATTAAAGCATGGAAACATGTCACAGTAGAAACACTACATACAAATATGAACCCTGAAAATGACCATAATAGGGCCCCTTTAATTTCCCTCCAAATCTGCGGTTCTTTGGAATTCACGTCACAACTGCTTCTGAGCCACAGTTGCTGGTGCAGCTGTAGCATGTCAGCCCACCCTCTTTGCCCCGGGGCGTATTCACTTACATGGAAATGAATAAGAGAGTTCCAAGGGATTTGAAAACTGCAAGTCTCTTAAAATGGTAATGCCAATGAAAATCCAACTACCAGGAAGTGTTTTTTTTAATATAAATTAACTCTAAGAGGTAAGCTTTAAGTCATATATTACAGAGGCACTGATTTAAAAGTCAGTATAGAAAGCAAACAACTAAATAGGCTACTTTGTGTTTCTGCGAGTTATGTACGTTTTGTCTACACACATTTTTTTTTTTACATGGACTTATATTTGTTGACATCTTTTAAGATGTGTTAAACTCGTTAACTGTTAATTCGATAATTAACAGTGGTGGTGTTAGAAGTACTCAGATATTCAACTTAAGTAAAAGTATAAATACTACACTGTAAAAATACAAGTAAAAGTCTTGCATTTAAAATCTTACTTAATTATAAGTTATGGCAATGGCATCAAAAAATACAAAAAGTAAAAGTACTTACCGTGGGTAACGTCCCACTTTAGAATCATTTTGTCAAATAAATGTAGTGGCGTAAACAGCACAATGTTGGCTTCCAAATTGTAGTGGAGTAAAAGTATAAAGTAGCATAAAATACAAATACTCAAGTGAAGTAAAAGTACTTACCAAAGGCTTACCAGAATCGAAGTGCAGGCAAAACTCAGTGACGGATCCCTTTGTCAGTGTCACACAGTGCAGCCAGGGTATTTAACTACATGGTTTTTGGCGGGGACTTTTTAAAACCATGTAACAAGTGTTGCAGTGACAGGTGAAGACTCAACAGCTGTCTGTTTATTTTCAGCCTGTCGTTCCTCTCCTGTCCTGCGGGGGCAGCACTGAGTCTCTGGGCTCTGCGGGCTGCTACCTCCGCGACACCAGAGTGCACAGTAAACACAAACCGACGCCACACCGAGAACAAGCCAGCAACGACTACAGTAGCAGAAAGGTAAGAAAAACACTTGGTTTATATGTGTTTTATTAAGAGTGTGAAACTGCAACTAACAGTATTTTGTTCATATATGCTTGCTTTGATTTTTACGTGTAATACGAGCCCGGAACTGGCTATGTAGATGGAGGCTACTGTCAACAAATGTGACCAAAGCTAGCTGCCTTGTCACTCACTAATGTGGACAGAGACTGTTTTGTTTGAGTAAAAGTAGTCCATTCTCCATTTAAAACTGACCAAAATGTAACAAAAGATGATGTGTTCATTTATAACACACTAAACCATTTATTTAACCACTAAAATCATGACAATAGTGATTAAGCTTGTGTAATGAGATCTAGAGAAAATTGATGGCGTCCTTTAAACACGACGTCCTGCTTACCTTTTCCCTTTTACTGTGATTTAGTGTAATGGTGCTTTCTGTTTAAAATTATCACCAAACATTGCATATCCCTTTTACCTTCAGGGAGTTTCTCTAACAAGCATTTTAGGAGGTGAGCACTTACTGTACCTGCCATATGTTGCAAGAAAAAAGAGGCATTCTTGTGGAACAGGCAGTGGTGGAATGTCACTTAGTACATTTACTTAAGTATTTTACCTAAGTACAATATTTTTGATACTTGTGCTTTACTCTACAAGATGTATTGATTTAAAAGCACTCTTTAGTTCTTTTCAACCACAAGTTAAAGTACCCAACAGAGTAAATATGTATCTATTTACACTCTCCCTCGCCGGCAGCTTAGATAATAGCCAGAATTGAATGGGTGCTGTAAACGTCATGTGAAAAAACATATGCTTGTTATGAAGGAAATGAAAGTGAGGCCCTTGACGTTCATACTAGTGTTTATTAGAAAAAGCAAAGCAATAACTGATACACATTAAATACAGTTTCTTTGTCGTTGACATTAAACATAAATCCATTCAGTCACTGTGCCAATTTTTCATACATCTGCAACATCTGGTATCATGTCTACCTTTTAAAAACACGAGTATAAGTTTGCTTGTACTGCACTGGTATTGGATCAGTACTTGGTATCGGCAGATACTCAAAGTTGAAGTATCAGAATTGCATCAGGATTAAAAAAAGATTCTATTCGTTTTTTTACTCCCAAACGGACGGATACCTTCTACGAGCTAGCATCTCAGATTGGTAAAATAGGTACAAATTCAGTACTCCCTAACTTTGGAATAGGGATGCATATCGTTGACTTTTTTACGATACCGATACTCAACCAATACATATCGTGATACTTTCATGTTGCATAAGGGAAACATTTTATCATCCCGCAATTACTCCCATGAAGCGCTTTATGATATAGTTAACATGTCAAATGAATATTAAATTCAATTGTGGGACTTGGACCTTTTAGTACTGAACAAACAATGAAAAACACGTTATCTATGAAGAAAAAAGATTCTGCAATATCATTTATAACAACCATCAGGCGTTGATAGCACATCTTGTCAATGGAAAAATAAAATAGCACCAGTATAATCAATATTTAACCTGAGATTCGACTGACCAGAGAACACATAAAGGATCATGAGATCTCGGCATTGCACATAAAACAAATAGCATCATTAAAATCAACATTTGCCTGATGAAAGAAAACAAATCCCATCACAGTTCAGTTTTGTGCATTCATCTTCAAGAAGATGAGCATATCTGCTCTCTGGATCCAAACGGGCCCTTTCACAGCGTAGGATATCACCTGCTGAACTGAACACTCTCTCGCTTGGCACGCTGCTTCCCTGAACACAAAGGTACTTGGTTGCCATACGAGACAGCATTGGTTGGAGATTGGATGTGTTGCCACCTTTCCCAGAAATAAACTTCTTGCAGTGGTTACAGACCCCACCATTCAGACTGGCAGTGGTTACAGACCCCACCATCAGACTGGCAGTGGTTACAGACCCCACCATTCAGACTGGCAGTGGTTACAGACCCCACCATTCAGACTGGCAGTGGTTACAGACCCCACCATTCAGACTGGCAGTGGTTACAGACCCCACCATCAGACTGGCAGTGGTTACAGACCCCACCATTCAGACTGGCAGTGATTACAGACCCCACCATTCAGACTGGCAGTCATATGCAGCCACACTTTCGATTTTCTTAAGTGACTCGTTTGCGGAGTTTCACTGCGAAATTGACATCGTAATTCGACGGTTTGGGCGCGAGTTTAAGGATATTACGCCTCACTTTTCTAAAAATAAATTTAAAGAAAAAAAAAAAAGTATCGAAAACCGGATCTGATTTCTGTACGGTATACCGTAGCCGCCAGTAACCGGTATTTCGGTAATACCGGGAACCGGTATGCACCCCTACTTTGGAACGTTTTTGAAATCTATTGTCAGCTGCTTTGAACCTGGGATGTTTGGTGATTGTAAATCAGGTGTTACTTCATGCATATCCTTTTTATTTTCTCTTGTAATAATTGTTGTGTCCTCAGTTATTCATCTAAGGACTAATACCAATTCTCTGCAGTTAGTATTCTGTATGAAATAATACACAATTCAACAATGGTTTCCAATTCCTTCTTTTCTTTGTTGTTCCCCTAGTGATGTGCTTGTACCATCTGCCGTAGCGGGACTCTATAGCTGAACCCGTTCCCTTTCCTGTTGCTGTTCCCCCTGAAGACCTCCACCACTTCCTCCTTCCCCGTCCTCCACCTCCTCTTCTTACCCCCCCCCCCCCCCCCCCCCCCCGGCTGCCCCTGTGATGCCTCCCTCGTGCTGTGGCTGCCTGTCACAGTACACTCATCACCATCTGGTTGCCTTCCTCCTCACCTTCTTTAGGTAATCCAGGTTATCCTTAAAGTCTTCCCTTAAAAACCTGCTGTATCCATATTTCCGTTCACCCTTCATGTCTTCAGAGTAACTGGAAACCCAATAATGAATAGATTGGTTCAAGCGGTCACTGGATAGATGGGGGAAAATGAGTTTTTTAACCAATTTTGTGCTGCAGTTTCGAAGGAACAAACTCCAAGAAAGTAGTGGGGTTGAATAAGAGGATACACTGTGTATGGATGAGATATACATGTAGGTGAAAGGTTTATAAGACAAAGCTAACCCAGGTCAGACGTGGTCAAGATAACAAGGACAATAACTAATGATTTCCACTAAAAAGGGTTACTAGACCAAAGTTGGGAGTTTCTCTCCCACACACATTTTCTATAACCCTGTAAATAAAGAATGTTTTGCAATGTTAAACAGACGAGGATAAAAATCATTTGTATGGCCACTGAGTAAATTCCATGCTGTGTGTTTATTCCAGTCAGTGCTGTTAATCTTTGATTACAGTAGACGTGGTGTCACATGTCTGCAGCCGTGTCCAAACACTATCAGGAGCAAAGCAAAGTGCCGTGTGCAGCAGGTAGCCGCACACAGTCCCGTGATTTCAGCCACTTCCTTTTTCTGTTTTAGATTTAGATGTGGAATTCCATTGTTTCCTGCCAAGTCTTTCTGGAGAATTACACTGATACTTCTTTGGAATTTAACATTCTGGATGTAGCCTAAGACTTCTAGTGGTCATAGTACAGATTATAGTGAGTGATGGTATAATTCATACGTAAATAATTGAGACTTTTCAACTGATGTTAAACAGATATTAAACAGCATCGCCTCCAGCTTAAATATGAACTTTGACCCGTTCATTCTACGTGGAACGTTTAAACAAATCTCAATCAAATCCCTGTTGATTCAAACTGTTCTCTGTTTCTCCAGCTATGTGCTGCTCCATGCCTCCAGAAAGACGTTCAGCAATGTGAAAGTCAGCATCTCCGCTCAGTGGACGCCAACTTTTACAAATGGCAGCGCAGCAGCTTTTTCTCCCGATAAGGTACCAGTAGAACAGAGCAGCGTTAGAGCCCTTAACATTTAAACACCCTGGATGTGTAACAAACTGTTTTTCTCTGACTGTTCCAGACATGGGAGGGCAATCATCTGTTTGCAGATAAAGAGCAGGCCACTCTGTTCCTCGGAGCTCTGGACACCATCTTCCTCTTCTCATACGCAGTGGTGAGTGGGGTACACGATTTTAACACACGTTTTAAACAACTGAAACACATATCTTTTTGTCATTTGCCTAACTTTATGTTGTCCACACAGGGTCTGTATTTCAGCGGTGTGATTGGGGACAGAGTGAACCTGCGCTACGTGCTCTGCGTCGGCCTGTGTGGCTCTGCTGCAGTGGTGAGTACATGCTGTGTGTTTCAATGTGTGTTATCCTTAATGATGTCTTCTTGTGAGTGGCAAGAGGTACATTCTGCGACTATTCATTTATAGTTTCCTATACCATGTCAAAAAAAGTACTACACCTAGGTTGTATGTTTTTATTGAGTAACATTATCCTACACTTCTAAAGAGAAATCTGTTATTTTAATCAAGGAAACTTTGCATTTAATTTGGTTACCTTGAATTCTATTATATCCCTTTTGAGCATGCATCAGCCATTCAAACATACTTTTAAGATAAGGATGGATTTTAACTTGATGAAGGTTTTAAGACGTCAGACATCTGGATCTTAAAGGTCCCATGTCATGCTTTTCCGGTTATTACCCGTCCCCTTGTGTTATGTAGCTTTTTTACAAACCCTCAAAGTACACCCTGTAGGGAGTACAACTCTAACACAGAAAAGACCTGTCTATGCTGCCCCAGAACGCCTCGTTGGAGATTTCTCTTTTTCCATTTTTTTCTTCCTGAGTAAAGGGACGTAACCATATCCAGCTGCAAATGGACCAATCCGTG